TCTCGTAAAGAGCTGGCCTTCGGAACACGACCCACAGGGAGCATATATTATTGTTTTGTTAAAGCTGAGGTGACATGTAGATAGGTTAGTGGTTCCGCACCGAGCGATGTTGAGGACAAACCAAAGAAGATAAGGCAGGTTGAGCACCGAGGATATTGAAATTTTATTTACGTTTGATTCTTTTCGTTTCCAGACTGTTGTACTACCGATAATAACGTCCTATTTTGAATTGTAAGTGCGCGCTCAAGTTATAATTTTCTTCAAGCGATTTGTGAAATTCCTGTGTCTTAATTGGGTCAACCAAGCAGGCTGCTTAGACAGAAAAAAGAAAGAAAGAAACTGTAAAGGGTAAACTGTGAAGTTAACCAGGAGAACTTCAGTTGGCTATTTTGTTCTGGGAAGGGGGCAAGCTGGCGTGAAAGAATGAAACAGAAGTTTGAACGTAAAGATTCAATTTCATTGGTTTAACGTCTTAAAACCACCATATGATTACAAGAGACGCCAACGAATGAAATAGAAGAGTCTTGTATACGACATTAGAAAGTCATGAGTATGACGTTGCCCCAATACAAGACAGCAATATTGTTAACGAACAAACACGATATCTCGTTCAGTGTGGTTTCCCGACAAGACAGAGCAGGAAAAGTACACAGACTGTGTCGAGCATGGTACTAGACAAATCTAACGTAGCTTTGTTCCTGAGCAACCATACGTTGGTCTCTGGCGTCCTGAGTGCCCACCACTGCAACTGAGGGCGGGGGGCAACAGCAGTCTACTTCCTATAGCTTTATTTCCACCATGTTGCCAGGAGCATCCAGTATGCTCGACACCTTCCAGTGTACCACCAAAAGCATCCGTTTGCCAATGTGCCTTGACCTTCCCATAAGGGCCGCGATACGGAGGATAGATCATCCCCGGCGGCCCGATGTCGACACGTCATGGTGCGTCACTCGATTTTCGTTTCTTTCTCTCGCTCGATCATCGGCGGAAACATATGAGTACCTGGTCTTCGGGTCGGCGCTGAGTGGCAGAAAACAAAGAAGGGCACCTTATCGAGACGAACGTCGCATAATTATGTAGATCCGGGGTCGACGTGGCGAATTCGCGGACTGTCCCGATACGCATCACCCCTGGGCGCGCTCCCACGCCTGTTTGCAGCCGTCGGCGCCGCCGGGGCGTTCCCGCGGCCGCCATGTAAAGCACGGGGCCATGTTTACCATGCCGAGTCGGCTGCAACCTCTGAGAGGAACGCACAGCCCGCATGAGCCCTGCGTACGAAGGACGGGTCCCGCGAAAAGCGCGATGTTCGCGGCAGGTGTATAAGTGAGCCTTCTGCATGGCCGGTGCCGTTCGTATGCTCGCTTTATGCGATATCTATACCGTCGCGACAAGACGCGCAGACGAATGGTCACAAGCAAGTGCTGCTTCGCAAAGCCATGCTCGCAACTTTAAATGCGTATTGTTTCTGGGGGAGCACACGTTTGGCACAAGACAGGCGGGAGCGCAGAATCAATTGAGATGCCCGAAAACGACACGCGTGCTCCTCTCCCATTGTCCGTGGTTTCACTTTTTGTGGCTTTGTATTCACCGTTAGAGCGGTAATTATGTTCATTAGCATATCAACTGGGCTGTAAAAACGGGTTTTAAAGTTGGTCCTCCGAATTGTGAAGGGTGGTAATTAAGCAGTTATCTATCGATGACTGTAATCTATAGTTATCAGTTTCCGGAGGCCCTTAGACGGCGCGATTTACAACCACATAGCGGCAGCAGTGAGCGAGACATGCTCGTCTCATGAGCATGCTATGCTCTGCTATTGTATAGGTGAAGAGTAGGCCACCATAACTTTTTTTTTCTGAGGGCTGAGGAGGCGTAGTTTGTGCGATCGATTGCAGCCAATAGAAGCAAAAACTTTGCCAGTCCCGCAGTCATCAGCATGTTAAGCAAACTGTACATGTGACACTGTTATTAACGTGCCATTGAAGGAACAATGCGAGCAGCTCGCGCATAGCTGCTCAGCCGTATAGAACGTGGCGTGTCCTGTGCAAACAACCTCATCCGCAGAGCAAGACATCTTAACCTAGAAGTTAGCAACGATGTCTTTTTTCTCCTCCTCATTAACAACACGCTACGTTATCTTAATTTTTTTTCTCTTCCGAGGATCAGGCTCGTACAAAAACTAGCCGACAGGTGGGAGTTTTCTTAGCGCTACGCGACGGCAGTAGCTGCGCGATTAAAAAAATATATGTAAATTCTAGGTGTTTATACGTACAGTGGTGTTTCTTCTAGGCAGCCCCGCCGCGGTGGTCTAGTGGCTCAGGTACTCGGCTGCTGACCCGCAGGTCGCGGGTTCAAATCCCGGCTGCGGCGGCTGCATTTCCGATGGAGGTGGAAATGTCGAGGCCTGTGTGCTCAGATTTGGGTGCACGTTAAAGAACCCCAGGTGGTCGAAATTTCCGGAGCCCTCCACTACGGCGTCTCTCATAATCTTATGGTGGTTCTGGGACGTTAAACCCCACAAATCAATCAATTCTTCCAGGTGTTTATACGTCTGAAAGCAGCCACTAAATATCTAGTATGAAGTAGCGATCATTCCGGTTTGGTTTTCTTTTGTATATTTTGCTTTTCTCACTCCCCTATCGCGAAACGATGTGGTGATGTGTCACTCTATAACAACGCCCGAGTGCACTTTCTTCTGCGACGCGGCTCTGTCTTTTTTTTTCCTTCATTTTTTAAACACTCGCTTCCAAGCGAGCACCGCATACGCACACATGCTACACACACCCAACGTGCCGCCAGGTCACGCAAATATCGACCTGCCCTTCCCGCAGGGTGACACCGCGGTGAAAGGTTAGCACGACGCAAGCCTGGCGGGGCCGTGTTTGCGCAAGTGGGTTTGGGGAAAAAATAGAGAAAGACAGCTGCTCGGAGGAGTGATCGCAGCCGCAGATAACGAGGTGGCCGGGGCCTAAAACGACACGCGCCGCGAAAAGCGAGAGAACTCGAGCTAACCGAGCGGCTGATTTACATATCGCGCCGTCGACGGCCGCCCTCTCTGCGAGCGACGAAGAGCGGAGCCGTCGTGTACAACGCGCGCGCCACTCGCCCAAATGGGCCGCCGCCACGAGAAGTCGCGTCGACGTTTCGCTCGTTTTAAGCACGTGCTTATCGCTCGCCGGAGAAGGAAGCGCAAGAACACGTCTTTCGACCCTCTTTCCTACACTCAGTTCTTCCCCCTCCCGTAGCGTGTATCCTCCAAGCGTGCGCCCGTTCTTGTTGCGCGCAGCGCAGTTTGGAACTTGTTGGTTGCATATGAAAGTATATTCTGGAGTCTCGTGAGCGAAATTCCGTGATTTAGTTTAAACATATGCCTCTATGGGGGTGTATGGTGAAACTTTGACCAAACGTAGTTCTTACACTACTTGGTTGTACGGGAGTCTTTTATTTTCTTTTTTAACGATAATGGCCTTTACTTTGGCATTGTAAGCGAGAAATCTATGTCAATAGCTTGAAAGTGAAGGGCCCGAGCAAAGGGCCTTGCAATGTTGCTGAAGCTGTTTGTGCAAAATGTGGTCAAAGCGCGTATCTTTTTTCGTAATTTTCGTTCTAACGCTATAATACTGCCTTTGTACAATCGGGGTATTTTCTTGCAGCGCATTGATTATAAATGCTAATGAAAGAGTTGGCAAGGAAATGTGTGAGAAATAATGAGTCAGTAACTCGCCGAAGCTTGTATCTTAGTAAAGACGATATGCTTTTTTTCTGTTTTGTACTAATAGTTTTGAAAAATGTATTTTAGGTAAAATCACTCCCCCTTTCACCTTCCCGGCCCACTACCATTTTCGTGTTGCTGCACCAACAGAGCATTTCTTTTGATTCAATTAGCATGCCTACGCTTTGGGAGACGCGAGTGTAGACTGTCTACTGCGTACATAGTTCTTTACCGGCAAAAACGAATTACATTGTCCTTCACAGAGGTTACAGACGTAACTTATCAAGTTGCAGGAAACTTTGCTGAACCAATATTGATAAACTACTAGAAAAGCGCTTTGGCATCACTTTCACAGGCATGTGCGGAGCCTTCGAAGCAAGATTTAAAGATTAAGCCTAGACATTTAATTTTCGCATTTATTAGTAAACTTAGAAACATTAAATTGGAAATATTAGAGTTTTAAAAATATTTTTCATTAATTGTTTCACTTTTGTTTCTTTTTAGAGAAAGTAACATCAATCCTGTTTCATTAGTAATGAACGTTTTCTATTTTTAGAACTAAGGAAATGTTGATACAGCTTTTAAAATCTATGCTCTGTCAGCTTTGACAACTTTAGCTCGTTGAACAAGAACCGTAGAGGAACAAGTTTTTCTTGCCATGTGAATATCAAAAAAAAATAGGGGGGAGGGGGAGGGGCATTAAAGGAAGTTAGGTATTCACCAGCTCTTTAGCAGTTTCTCTAAGCTGCGTTTCACGAAAGTGCGTTAACTGAAGTGAGCTGAATGTGGCCCTGTAGACTTCGATTTTATTCATATTTTGAAGAGAAAAAAAAAACGGCATTCACTAGAAAGTATCCAGAAATATAAAATTTCGCCAAACCATCGTCGAACATTTCGACCTCGCCCAGATAGCTGCATAACTGGTAGCGTGATTTCCCTCGGGTCGATGCCTTCGTCGAAGCTGAAGTTTTCTTCAGCTGCAAGGCTCTTTTTTTCAAAGAAAGCCATTCGAGCTTTATGACACTATGCCCATTTTCCTTTCTAAGTAACTTGCTCCACCTTGCGCATCTCCACCTAACTTTTTGGCAAGTACTTACTTTAGTGCCATGTGCTCTTGGCAAGATAAACTTGTTCCTCGAGGTTCCATGTTCAACGTGCTATTGCCCCTGTTGCTGTCACATTTTATTACGCTTGTCTATAGTTCCTGTGTTGGTTATAAATAGTGCATTGTAAAAGGTCGAAGTGCTTCCTTCGTCGCCTCAACGGCTCGCTCGCTTCTTTCCTCTTGCAGTGACGGGCAGCGCAGTTGCCAGCTCCGCGGTGGCCGGCATTCCCGGCGCCGACTACGCCTACGCGTCGCCCTACACGCAGTACTCTTCGGCAGCAGCGTATGGCGCCTACGGCTACGGCTCCAGCGGAATCATCAGTGAGTGGGCCCCCGAGTGCGCCCTGCCTGGGTCCGCTTGCCTTTACTTGTTACACCAATCTCCGTATATTAGTTGATTCGCGAACTATCCAAACGTTTTAATTTATTCATTAATAGCGTCAACATCCTGTGTTGAAGTTCGGGACTGACGTTTGTGCAAGCATATGAGGCCATGCCTGCTCGCTTATTCTTCGGATAGTATTGACACATATTCAGTGTGTCAATTTGTACATGTATACGTCAATCGGAAATAGGAGTTACTTTCTCCGTAAATTGATGCAGTGATCCAGTCGAAAATATTTAAAACTGTATGGTCGCGTGCGTCTTCTGCCCTAACTTAAATTTTTGTAAGGCATGCATTTTCGAAACTATAAAAAAAACATGCACAATGGAAGGTCAATGTTAAGGCTGGTCAATACTCCTATGTGGGACACACGAGAAGAAAAAAAACGTAAGAGTAGAAGTGTGCCATCGAAAGAGCAAACATTATGAATATATTGCTTAACGAACATCAACGTTCGACCCGCTTCAATTATTATCGGCCGTTAGCGACCGACCGATGGCTGCCATAAAGTGAACGGAGCGGTGACGAAATGGTATCGAAACAAAATTTTCGCTTAATCCCGGCAATGATTCGACTCCTGGAGAAATAGACAAGATACACGGTCTCTTCACAGAGCTGTGCCATGCAGTGAAGGATACTTGCGCTATATATTTTCGATGCAACTTTCGTGCTTCTGGAGTCGAAAGGCCCGTGATAAAAGTCATCTTGAAAACTAGGTGCCACTTGGCACTTTCGCATTACTGTACACATTCGCACACACACGTTCTCATGGCCACAGCTCACAAAGAGCACTCACAAGGGTCATCGTGTTTATTTTTGCGTATGAACGTGTGTGTTAATAAAGGAGTGCCAAGCTGCGCCTAATTTTCGAGATGGCGTACTACTAGCCCAGCTGCAACTTCTAATAAGTAATCTACGATTGTGCCGTAGATCTCACCCACCGTTTCTCCTCCCTTTTCTGCCCACTCGCAGACCCGTCCTACTACTACGCCCATAGCGCCAGGACCGGGTCGGCCGGCACGGGCCTCAGCAGTGCGGGTCCGCTCAGTCCCAACGCCTACAAGGGCGAGCGCTGCTGACACCTGCGGGACGCTTAAGGCTCGCCGACCGCGTCCACGGGACAGCACGCCCCCCATGCTCTGCCGCCCTTGACTCACTGCGGAGCGCAACAACGGATCCGAAGATACCACGACGGCCGAGGTGGCAGAGGCAGCGGTGACGGCGGCGACCATCTTGAAGCAGGCTGCGGACTTGGCCGGCAACATTTCACTTGCGTCGTTCCCCGTGCCGAGATGATGGTGCCTGATCGGGACAGTAGACGAGGAAAACAGGCAGCCGCCAGCGGACGAGTGTGGCGCGTCGACGGGAGAACCGCGCGTCGGTGGTGATCGGTTCCTCGCGAAAACCAAAGATCTTGTGTCCGCCTTGTGGACTCTTTTGGACTTGTGCGAAGTGTACGTGATGCGCAAGAACGACGACGTTTAACGGGAGTCTCCGGCGCACCACGTCGTGTGCGTATAGCACGACAGCGGCGCGCCACATTGAATGCGCGGGGCGGCTGCGCGATACGAGGCGAATAGCCGGCCAGAGTGTGCTGTAGGGCTGCCATGAAGTTGGTTGCGATGCAGCGAGAGCTTCCGCGCGGCTCCCCGCCTGGTTGTTAAGCGAGTAGCGATTACGCTCTTTCAGACGCTGTAAGCGTCGGTGATCTTTTTCCCGCTTGTATGTCAGCTCATCAGTGGGACGAATACACAAAGCTTTGTATTCGTGCGCCTTCTCTTGCATTGCCTACTTCAAGCTCACTGATATGATGCACAAAATCGGGAATGGCTGAAAAATTTCTTCCCACATGGTATTCTGGCACAAGAGCTTTTGCGAGTATATGCTAAAGTATAAGTACTTCCAAGCTCGTTTCAACATGCTATATGAAAGGTTGACAACAGAATGCTATCACTGCGTAGAAGAAGTAAAGTGAGGCAGGTGTGCACAAAGAATCGGTTTTCAAAAAGGGTGAACGCAGCAGTTTTCCGAGAGAATTCAGAAGTATTTCTTCTTTCAGATAGTGTAACGGCAAACAGTGTTACATAGTCTTGAACTAAACAAACAGATTTCAATATACACCCTCGAGATGAAAACCTAAAATAGAAAAGAAATAGGACTAAAGCACGTGTGTAGCATGCGTTAGTCGCGAAGTAAATCTTGCTGCCACACCTGCTCACCAATAATACTTAAAGTCCCTTTACTCGCCAAGGCGCAAGGAGTCGCGCGGCAATGCTTTAGACGCTCGCTTCCATTGACAAGCACTGGTATACTTGTGTAAAGGGAGGTGGTTCATTTACGCCACCACGTCTTAGAGGCATCGCACAAAAACAAACAAAAGAATCGTTGCGGTGGCACAAGAAGTGTGACTTAATCTGGTCGCCAGGATATTTCTATTCATCCTTACATCAACCCCGCTTGTTAGTTAACATCGACAACCTTTTACCCTTGTTCCCCATCCCTCCCTCGTATTATTTTTCTTTGTTTCTCCCTCCAGAGAACTGTCTTTGTGCGTATTATTTACAGTGTAGCACTGCGTGTATTTATCAAAAAAAAAAACGAAACACAACGCAGAATGGATATTAACGTCGCCTCTCCACTTACAAGGCGTAGTTCCGCACGTCGCCTCTCCACTTACAAGGCGTAGTTCCGCACGATGGCGATGACGATGATGCTGCTGATTCTACATGGTCTCACGCCACGGTTTGCTCAAAGTTTTACGTTTGTCTAAGCACACGTTTACCTGTCTGCGAAGGAAAAAAAAAAAGGTTCACAGTTTCACAGCCACCACACGAAAAGAAGGAGACACACACACACAAACACGCAAAAAACTAAGAGTGTATTCACTGTAAACGTTATCAAGTGTTCGCAAAGGAGAAAGAGCGACCCAACGGCGAAGCGCATGTTGTTGCTTATCTGCATGTTGTTATGCCGGGATGAGAGCTTCGCACAGTTCAGCGGCATTGATTCGCGTCCTCTCGGTGTTCTCGCGTTGTTTCAGGCGTGCCTGTGTCTGCATTAAGCGACTGCGCGAATACATCGAATTGGGTTCCCTCAAAACTTTAGTGCTTTTAGAGCGCTTACTCATTCAAAAAAGAAGCTTCAGGAACGAAGGACACATCAGACGTCAGAAACGACAAATTATTTGTTTATTTAGAAAATCGTAGCCGTGTACGTTACATTCGCAAACACACGCATCGCGTGATATTGAATCTCATATCGTGTCTGGCTTTATATTAGGAGTAAAAAAAAGATAGGGAAACTAGAGAACACGGAGTTTTCGCTTGAAGGCACGAAACTATTCCTAACAGCGTCTTTCTCGGCTTTCTCGGTGCCCACTTCGGAGACACCACTGTACCGGCCAAGCTCACCTCCTCGCTAGATGCGAAGCAAGCGGCCGCTCCAGGAAGCCGAACCGCAGGCGTCTGACTTGCGCCTCGGCTTTTTCGCTGTAGACAATGTAGGTCACTTCATTGTATAGTCCATATGGTTCACCCCCCCCCCCCTTTTAAGTGGCATGCTTCTCGAATGTGTATCATGTGTTTACTAATTTATACAAACCCTATGACAGAGATGTTGGCAAAAAAAAATGGATGGGCCGAGTGCAGAGGTGCGGGCGACGAGAAAGAATCGTTCACCTATGCGAAAGAGACGATGTACATTATTACTTCCCGCCGTGGTTGTGCCTGCTTGGTGTGAGAGTATCGTTTTCTTTTATTGTGTGTGCGACCCGTTTTCTTTTGCGTGCGCTTATACATACGTGTTAAGGCGCAACGAATGGTGCCGCGTGCGACATTGCTGACGCTGGGCTCCTCGTTCGGGCAGCACCAGTTCATCCCATTGTACATGCGAAATCCCTTCGTCTTTCTCATGGCAGATGTTCACTTCATATTCCCCCCTCTCTTTCCGTGCCGCACCTAAAATGGAATATTGTGTGTTGTAAGATATTTTGCGGGAGAACAACATACAATACGCTAGCGTTTTTATGTTGCTTTTACGTTGTGTTCTATTTTTTCTTTTTATTATTTTGCCTGCCTGTTCGTGTTGTGTGTTGGCGTATTTGTATTTGTACTCCCTTTTTATGTCGTTTTTGTTAATCCTTATTGTTTCTTAGAGTTGCACCCTGTGATGAAGAACGACACCCTTGTATATATACATCACGCCCTAGGCGTTTTCTTTTTTTTTTCGTCTACCTTTTAGTAGTGATAAAAAGCGAATCACAGGAATGAGGCATATTTCTTTAAGTATATTGATTCTTATTTTGAAGTGGCACGATAGTTTCGGAAGGTGCTGTCAAATGAAGGCATTGAGGCGACTTCTTGTGATGTCTTTTGAGGGCGAAAATTGTTCGTCACCACTTGTAAACATTGTGGAATGAGATAGTGCTGATGAGAAGCGCTTATATCCGGCGTTAGCGGCAAACAAATGTTAATGAAGAGTGAGTGCGTGTGAGTTTCCACGGAGCCGTTCGTGATTCTCCAATAGACGAACGACTTTCCGCTGACGCACCCCAAGGCATAACATTACGGCGGCAGATACATTAATGAAGTTCGTCGAGGCGTGCACAAAACTATTTCATTTTTTGTGCCGTCAATGCGAGCTGTAAAAGTGCGTTAATACAGCGCAGTGGTAAGCTACTTAATGATCTTATTGCGTGTTCAGGAGATGAAGAATGTATACCGGTGTTTTGCTGGAGTTCGCCTGCGAGGCGCCGAACTCCTGCGTATAGCGTCCACCCCCCCCCCTCTCTCTCTCTCTCTCTTAAAAGGCCACGAATGTTCCTCAACTACGGTCACATGCGCATAACGTGCGTATAGGTTCTATCTGTGTCATACAGAGCTAATATATGTATATAAAAAAGGTCAGATGATTTGTTTTTCACAACACGTGCTCTTGAACCAGCAGTATGGCGACAGGTTCAAAAAAAAAAAAACACGTCACACTGCTTTGAACATGGAAGCCCCCCCCCCCCCTTTTTTTTTTTGCCTTACCACGATGGATCATCAGACATAATTATTTGCGACAACCACTTAAGCATGCCATGTGGCACACCAATTTGAGTAGGTAAATCTGAAAACCTTGAAGCTTTTTTGACATGTGAAGGGTAAAGGAGGTTGGACGATTTTGTTCTATTTCTCGGCTCTCTACAAGCATCTGCCATCATTCCTTGCCTATAGGGAAACGTCGTATTGACCGACTATTGTGTATTGGAGCACTGTGCGATGCCTTCGATTGTACTGTACCAGAAAAAGAAGTTTTCTTCTTTTGTTTATTTTCCTCTCGTTTAGAATTTGCTGAATGAACTCGATGCTGAATGATGCTTTGTCGGCCAGAGGCTACGCGCGGCTCTGTATCTTTTCCTTTGGTTGTGTACATGAACTGGTTGCCTGGACAAAATGTACGTGTGCGGGGCTGAGTGACAAGTGTGCAAAATGTGATGACTGCATGAAATAAAACTCGATGAGTATGCACACACTGTATGAGTATCATCTGTCGTCCTTCTGGCGTGAAATGCGCTGAGGGATAAGCGGAATAATCACATACTCTTCGCATCAGCTTTAAATATTGCACTAAGCAATCGCAAGCAGCCACACATAGAGCCAAAACGATGTTATCAGAGGCGAACGGGCGGCAACAGACGCAATCATCAAACTAGAATCGATTTACAAATTGAACTGAACAAAGTGAGTAGAGATCATTGGAAACACCTCCTCAGCATTCGAGTGGATAGTTTAGTCGGTGTTTTACACCAAATACTAAACAAAAGTTTAAAAATATAGCTCTCAACTCGACACCTCACGAAGACGTATAATTTAGTATTAATGTGCCAAGCCTTACCACAAGTTAATGAAATTTGTGGCCTCTTTGTACTACGTAGTAAAAAATGCAGCGCGGCTCTATGACACGGCATCTATGCTGACGCATGGGTGTGCTCGTTGGCGCTCGCAAAAAAAAAATGCATTTCTCAATTGCTTTGCGACTGTTATTATAGCTTGTCCTAAGTGAGATATAAAATGAATGAACTCATAAAAATGTGGCTTACTCAACGTTTACGGTGTAACGATATGATGCAGTGAAACCTCATTTTATTTTTTTATGCTATTCAATGCTGCACACACTAGCATAGTTGCATAACAGTGAAGCACGCTTTCTGTATTATTAATATTTGTTTTTATTCGTGAAGATTAGATTTTCGTCCCCTAAATATCGTTGTTGAACATCACATGGTACAAAGTGAAAGCATAATCTTACATGCCAAACATAGCCCATAAACAGAAACTTCCCTCCCACTCTATTCAAAATTTTCACGAGCCAATACATGTTCAGGCTCACCTTTCCTTCGACAAGTAATCACAGTGCAAAACGTGGCAAAGCAACTTTCTAAAAGCAGTTGAATAAATTACGTGAACTCACAGTTCTCTGACGTATGCTTCATTTTCCCATTCGCCTGAATCACTTGGCAATCACCAGCCGACTAGCTTTTAATACGGGAGACGAGAGGGAAGTTTTGCTGAAAGAAAACGTATGGCTAGAACCCTGAGATATAATTATCTGACTTCCTGCTCGTTAGTATTGAAGGAGAGTGAATGTATAGTAACGAATGACTGTGAAGAACAGGGGGGGGGGGGTGACAGGAAATGTGCGTACGGTCCGCAACAAAAAAAAAGTTTGCGGAATCTACAGCACGTGGCGGAGCGATGAAAAAAAAAAGCATCGCTGCGTCACCTACCATGACAGGTGGCTGTTGAAGATATCGGCCATGGCCTCCACGAGAAGAGCCGGCAACGGTGCATTGTCTAAACGCGTTGCCACTAATCACTGAGGCCGATATCCTCAACTTCCACCGTGTCATGGTAGGTGACGCAGCAATGCAGTTTTTCGTCGCTCCGCCACGCGCTGCGGATCCCGCAAACGTTTGTTGCAGACAGTACGTTAAACAATGTCCCTAATGGACGACTCATCCAGCCTCATGACATATTGGAAATTTTAATAAAACTTTCATTGTGTGTGCCTCTAAGTCCTCGTGCCAACACAAGGCCCATTACTAGCGCCCTCAGATGGAGCACAAAATCACTACTTGACTACCAGAAGACAACCGGACTTTAGGAGCGTCTGTGAACTACAGGCGCGAATTGGTGTTGTGCGCATTCTCACAAACTGTTAATTTCATCTGTTATTTTGTTATTTTTTCTTTATGTTATCGATTATTCTCTCTTTCTCCACCCTACCTGATGTAGGGTAGTTAACCCATAGAGTTTCCTATATGTACACTCTGGCGCTAGTGTCTATGGAAGCTGCAACGCATGTCGCTTAAACGAGCATGGGAATTATGTATAGAGCATGAATTTGCCTAGTTTTCGAAGTTTACGTTCCTTTTGGCTTCGCTTGTCTTGAAGCCGCTTTGTCACGAGACAACAATCGGTAAAAGTTCGGCAGTTACGCTTCACAAACATCACCTTTGACGATCACCATTTCAAATCGGACCACGTAGTTCAAAAGCGTTCGTTCTCTCTTTTAGAAAAAAAATTCGGCAGGTCCCACGCGAATGGACGTTATGCGAAACATGCGAAGGGACGGTGACTATTTTGCAATTGTTTTTTTTTTTTGTGCGACACGTCATGAAATGAAGCTAAATGCTAAATGTATGTACAAATGTTCCACGCACAGGCATAAGTTGAAGAGTTACAAATGTTGATGTAACGAGCTGTTTGCACTTGCACAACTATGCCAACTGGAACATGCGTATTGCCAACAACAAAAGCCGATATGAAGCACTGATTCTCGCGAAGATACTGGTCTTGGAAACTGCTACATAAATCAACTTCAGCGCATGACACCTAACCACAATTCCCGTTAACCCGCGGCGTGACGGCTGTATCATAAGGAGTACAAATGTCATGTTTATAAAACTGCGTAGGCAGCACTGCAACCCCTATTGACGTTTCACGAAGATTAGCGTCTAGTTCAAAAGTAGTCCCGAGACATGGCGTAGCTCTGTGGTAAAATGCTTCATTGCCACGGAGAATGCTTGGGTTCGATTCCAGCTGGGACCCTGACATTTATTCTATGCCTTCTTTGGGTCTACGGTATACTGACGCCGGGTATTTCTTAAAGTCCGCGTTGAAATTGCCCATGTGTGTTCTCGTCGTTCCTGGGTAGATACTAAGTGTGAATCACTTGTGGCACATACCACCCGCCCGTGGGTATATGCCGCTGTCTGGCGGGAAGTGTTTGACGACGTACGCGACGGGATTGAGACATTATTCATGTCTTGATCAGCGCGTCATATTCACCAAATCATCTTACCCTCCTATGCTAATTTTGGTTCACGCCAAGTTTAGGAGGTGACCACGAGAGCACCCACACGTAAGCGGCTAGATAGATAGAAAAGATAGATACGCTCAAAGTCGCCGAAGTTCGCTAAGAAATTCTTCTCATTTAAAACAACCGAATTAGAGCAATAAAACGAAGCCACAAGTGCGATTCACCGCCCGCAAGTACGAAGACTAGGCTAATTCATGGGATACCCATTTTTCGATGGACGCTGAATGATCGCAGCACCAGAGTCCCCTCTAGTTAATTTAAAGAAACTTTATGAGTTAACCCAGACAAGCTTGGTTAACCTTGCTGCCTTTTTTCTTCATTTATTTCCCGCTCTCTCGCTCTCAGGCAGCGTTTGACCACTACCGATGCTAGTTAAGTTATCGAAGAAGGAGTAACAAAGGCATTACGTATTACAATTTAGTAAAAAAAGAACACCGAGTACTTGGACAAAACAGATGTAGACGTACCCGGGTAGTTCTATTTTCTACATATAAAGACCCACTGTTCATCACAAAGAGCAGCTCAAGAAGTATACCACTAAGGGCATTCATATTGGATCAGGTCGAAGCAATTTCCGTTAGCATATAGAGCAAAAACTGGTGCCTTTGGTGAAAATACAGGCATAAAGTGTCCATTGTGTTCTACATTAACTTGTATACCTAAAAAATCACAGCATATCCACGGAGTTAATGATGATGAGTGGATCAAAGCGTCCGGACGGACGGATGGAAGCACAGGTGGACTGATGGGCGTACGGAAGCACGAATGAACTCACGGGTGGAAGAACAGACGGACGGACGCGCAGACGGATGGGCAGAAGCACGAATGGACAGGCATATGGACGGCCACACGGATGGATTTGCAGATGGAGGGACAGAAGCACGGACGCACGGACGGACGGACAAAAGCACGGAGGTACCACCATCTCGTCTTACAATATCTTTTCATCGACTATAAGTACCACAATCTAGTGAACACTCTAAGAACTGAACTAGAGGTGGCCACATACTACATACATCGGAGGATGTACAGACCCACACCGTAGGAGCTTCGCCCCTAAAACAGTGGCTCATACTCGAGGGCGGGTGCGTGCCATTGGTGTGCGGGTGTGTGACACAGGTGATGGCTACATACTACATACATCGGAAGATGTACATACCGACGCTCTAAGGAGCTTCCCCCCTAAATCAACATCATGATGGGCTAGATGGTTTCTTAGTTGACCCACAATAGAAGTGCTTAAAACGATGCACATAGAATAGACAGGAACGAGTCTCAAGCGTAACAGACAGGTGTAGCATTTCGTCAATGAAGGCATTTAAGGGCGCCACCATGATACTCTCAGGGCTGTTGTTAACATGTGTGATGCCCCCGCCCCCGAAAAGGCACTGCCTAAACTGTTATGCGAGCTTTTGTACTCCCGAGCAACCACCCAGATGGGGGCAGTCCTTATCTCTCCGTTGAATAGATCTGTAGGTAATCATGCTGCCCTTCCGTGTCCTTTGTGGTGCTTTCAAATTTTAAGAAACTAGATGAGTCAACATAAAAAAATGTATTGGTTCAATCGTCAAACGGTGCACCGTTAGACAATCGAGACGCTTGCGAAAATGTCTAATTTAAGGACCACCACATGGACGACAGAAGCAGCCACAAGATGGTCGGCTGCACTAATTACAGCTACGCAAAGCGACCCAAGATTCAGGTGAAATAAACTCAGTGACTAAAAGAGAATGCGATGTTTACCATCTTTGAAGCAGCTTATAATAAAGCTCAAGATTTAGTGAAACGATAAGGTCTAGCCAGCATCTAGAGAACCACTTCTTAGTCGGAATACTTGCAATACTTGCAATACTAAATTGCAACTTGATACGTTGCCAACAACATAGTCTGTGGGTTGAATTTCAAAAAGATCTTCCAAAGACTTATTTGCGGTGATATCGATGACATTCAACATCTAGTTCAGATTACTCCAGTAAAGAAAAGAGGAGCGATGATCTGCATACTGTAAAGGGATGTTCTCAGGCACCGGGTATTTAAAGGCGTCATTTCTACTGGATGGCACGTGACAATCATGGGGACCGTACAGCGATTTTCAATTGCCTTCCTGCATGTCCCAGGACTGTTGAACACCTGGTGACGCCCCTTACAGCT